AGACGAAGCACAAGCACCCTATAATGAACATCACTGCTTGCAAAAATGGTGAAACTAGAAAGCTTGAATAAAACAAGAGCACCACCTGATCACAGCCTCTATACTTGTCAGACTTGCTAGGAAGAAGTTTGAACTTATAGTTGGAGCTGTAAGAAAAAAATTAAAACAGTCATGAAATGCTACAGATGAAATTATGAACTGCAAAGATTTTGCAGAAATAGTTTAACTTGGGCTGGAGTAAAGTCTGTGACAACACCAGATCTGGGAAATGCAAATAAAATCCACAGTAAATGTGATTTTTAAATACAGGGAGTTGTCACCTTGTATGCAATTGGCAGACAAATAGAAGTATAGGACATATATAGATAAGATATTTAGCTGTGCAGATTTTTTTGGTAACAGAATAACATTTTGCTTATCACATTATATGCTTGCAATTCTTAATCCATTGACCAATAATTAATAGTTGTATGTCAGAGGAAATTATTTCATAATCAGGCTTACCTTGATATTAGATCTTCAAATACTTCACCTTACTTTATGAATAAACAAAAATGTACACTTTTAAAGAGAATAATATATTATATTAGAATATATACAAATATTCAAATTACAGAATACTTAGATCTTATGGTGTGCTGGTTTTGACTGGGATAGAGTTAATTTTCTTCATAGTAGCTAGTATGGGGGGGTTGTTCAGAGTGATGGCATTTGTCTTCCCAAGTCACTGTTACCATGATGGAGCCCTGCTTTCCTGGGCATGAGCCTGCCGATGGGAAGCTAGGGAATGAATTCCTTTGTTTTGCTTTGCTTGCATGCGTGACTTTTGCTTTACCTATTAAACTGTCTTTATCTCAACCCACAAGTTTTCTCACTTTTGATTCTCACCCTCAACCCACTGTGGGGGAGTGAGCGAACGGCTGTGTGGGGCTGGGTTGCCAGCTGGGGTTAAACCACAACAGTCCTTTTTGGTGTCCAACATAGGGCCTGTTGTGGTTTAACTTCAGCCAGCAACTAAGCACCAACTTGTGTCCCCTCCCAGCTTCTTGTGCTCCTCCAGCATCCTCAATGGTGGGGTGGGGTGAGAGGCAGAAGAGGCCTTGGCTCTGTGTAAGCCCTGCTCAGTGATAACTAACACATCCCAGGGTTATCAACACTGTTTCCAGCACAAATCCAAAACATAGCCCCATACCAGCTACTGTGAAGAAAATTAACTCTACCCCAGCCAAAACCAGCACAGAGGGAAAGCCAGACTCATGGTACAGCCTTTACTGATTATTAAGGGCAGCTTTTTTGCACTATACAAAAAATATAACCACTTCCCTTCATTTGGAAAAGTTGAAAAAAAAAAGGGGGGGGGGAAGGGGGGGAATATTTTCAGGTACATAACATTTTCAGGTATCAAAACAGCCACATAGGAAAAAGATACTACACTATTGCAATAAATTATGGTTCATTTATCATCACTGCAAAACAGTTCCAATTCAGAAATATATTTCACCATCATGCAAGAGCTCAGTCCTGCCAAAAGCCATTGCCTGTCTACTCTTCTTTAGGCATTTTTATGACTAGTACCCCATTTCCTAAAAAGTTAAAAGACAGTTCACTTACTTTAGCACTTAGCCTTAGAGTTGATGCATCTCTTATAACCTGCCTGGATGAATTAAACATCTTACAAAACATTTTGTGCGCTGCTTATGCTGGTATACGCACCAATACTGACTACAGTCAGTAACTGGGTTACACCACAGAAAACAGGGCACCATTATTTCCCTGAAACCAGCACTGCCAGTCATTCCAGACGCACTCTCCACAACCAGCCCCACGGGTCCCAGGGCTGATCAGCTCCAGCTGATGCCCAGGAGGAAAGCACAAAATGTCCCACTTCCACCCAACACTCACTCCCCACATTTTTTGTAGCTACATATAGTGAGAGAGTGGCAATTATCTGGCAGCTGCTTTTCCTGATCAGATGAGCAGTTCAGACAAGAGATACTACAGCTATCTGTGTACCATACAGCAGTCACCGATAGGATACGCGGAGGCACTTAGTACCTGCCTCTTGCAGTTGGAAACAGCATCAGAGGTCAGTTTGGAAGAACATGTGGAAGGTGCTGCCTTGGATATCGGCCCTGGGGCATTGCAATGGACTGTCTCAGTTTTATACAGCCCTTGATGAATGAACACAAGTCGGGTCAGGCAGCTAGGGACGCGTCACGCTGACGACAATGGCGAGGGTGACCTTCATCCCGGTCATCCTCAAGGCTCTTTGCTCTCTGCCAGCTATTTAGCACCGACATCAGCATGCATGCCTACATTAACCAAAATGTAGATACTAATGCACAAACTTACTGTCAATATAGCTGCAGCCTGAGAACCATAAAAAGGCCACAAAAGGATGGCTTGCATGTGAGCTGTTTCCCACATGCCAGCAAGCAAGGAGCCAGAACCCACATCAGTTGACAGGAAAATACAACACAAATCACATGACTGAGTTAAACTTATACAAAAAGTTCTGTTGACAGAGAAATGCACTAGATTCTGACATTATACCCAATACATATATAATACATACAAAGCATACCATGCAGCAGCAGCAGCTTCTGCCAGAACCAGAAAGCGGCTGTAACCAGCACACTGTATCACCTGGCTATGCTGATGCCAAAATAAACCAGAAATCCCATTCTGGAGATCAAAAGTCAAGCTCAGGTTTGTGTGTTGATATTAACAGGCTAGAGAAGGAAGGTACAGTTTCTGAATATGTCTGTGCACATCATTTTGTAGCCAAGTAACCCACTGTAAGGGTGGCCCTGAGCAGACTTTCTTCTGGTCACGCATTTGACGACCAGGGGAATTTGACTAGCAGGGGAATTCACACACATAAACAAGAACTCAGAGCTACATTTGAGGATTATCCTGAAAAAACTGTCAGCAAACACACTGTGTTTGTTCATCCCACGTCTCTAAAGGAGCCAAACTGTAATGGCACAGCGTAGGTGCCATCAGGTCTGCCCCACACAAACAAAAAGCCAGAAAATGTTGTGTGTCTTGATGGATATGGTCTTTTTTTATTAGCATAGGCAAAGGTAGCGTACTTTCTGACAGAGAGCAAAAGGAAGAAAGAAAAGCAACAGCAAACACAATTAACTAACTCTGGCAATACACAAAAATGAGGAAGGAAACAACACACTACACCAACAGAAAAAGTCTCATCTTTCTACACATTTCCCTATTCTTAATACTTTGCTCGAGGCTTCTGTCAGCAGAGGAACAGCGGATGAACCAGACAGCCAAAGACCCCTCTCTGAAACAGTTGCTGCCGGGTTTGCTCAGGTACTTGCAGGTTCGGAATGTTCACGTGGTGTGATGGGGCACTTGGTCATCTGGCTTTCAGATATAAGAGGCTGATAACCAGCACTGTGCATCTTATCTTGATAATGTAATCTAAATCTGTGCTGAGAAAGGAAAAATGGTGTGTGCTTGCTAAGAAATACCAGAAATGGCTTCCCCAGAAGCACCATGATTTTGTGCCACAACTGTAAAGTTTCTATTCAATGGTATTTCATTTTCATGTAAAGACAAATGGTGTTCTAGGCAATCTGCTGTTATAACTTGCTATTACATTATCTTAGGCCTCCATCATGAATATATTCCATTTTAACTTTTCATTAGATGTTAGTTTGTAAACAACTTAAATGTAGGCAAATATTTAGATTTTCTATGAACTAGAAGATATATCGATCGGTCTTCTTAATGCATGTTCAGGTTTTGTGTTTAGTTGTGTAAACCTGCCAGTCACTGTAAGGAATATGTAATATTTAAATACAGAATGTTATGGTTTATGTTTTCTCTCTCCTTTTCATCCAAGTCTATTTCAAACAATGGAAGATTTTGCAAATGAGAGTGTTGTCAGTAACTCCAGTGGAGCACCCTCCTCCGCACCATGCCACCGAGACACCACAGTCACCCACCTGGTCTTCCCAGTACTCTATACATTCGTCTTCCTCCTGGGACTCATACTGAACAGCCTGGCTTTTTGGGCTTTCTTCCATATTCCAAGCACATCAACTTTCATTGTCTACCTGAAAAATATCTTAGTTTCTGATTTTATAATGACCCTGATGCTTCCACTGAAAATCTTGACGGACTCTGGCCTGGGACCATGGCAGCTCAAAGCCTTTGTCTGTCGCTTCTCAGCTGTAGTATTTTACGACACCATGTATATTAGCATAGTGTTACTTGGTCTCATTGCTTTTGACAGATTTCTCAAGATTGTGAGACCTTTTGGGAAGTTCTGGGTGCAAAACCTGACCTCAGCGAAGATCCTTGCAGGTTTGGTCTGGCTCTTCTTCTTTGGTCTCTCTCTGCCTAACATGATCTTATCAAACAAGAAAGTGACGCCCCAATCCGTGAAGAAGTGTGCCTCACTGAAGAATTACTTTGGACTCAAATGGCACGAAGCTGTCAATTATATCTGTCAGTTCGTCTTCTGGACTGTTCTCATCCTCATGTTTGTATTTTATATAATTATTGCCAAAAAGGTCTATGAGTCTTATATAAAAACACAGAAGAAAAACAACAAAAGCGAACAAAGGATCAAGGGGAAAGTATTCATCATTTTTACTGTGTTTTTCTTATGCTTTGCCCCCTTTCATTTTAGCAGGGTTCCCTATACTCTGAGTCAAACAACCACCCGAATGGACTGCCGTCTGCAGAACCAGCTCTTTGTTGCAAAAGAAAGCACTCTGTGGCTGGCGACCACAAACGTCTGCATGGACCCCCTGATATACATGTTCTTGTGCAAACCATTTGTAGAAAAGGTTTTATGCAGGAGAGTAAAGACATTTCAGAAAACAATTCATACAAACCCAAAAACTGAACTGGACACTGCTACTGAACCTTGATTCTACAGCTTCATGCTCTACAGTCTCTGCATATTCATAGAGAAGTTAAAAAATAATTTGTTTTACTTCTGCTGTAGAAAATGAAAGAGCAGTTGTACTGTAATATTAATACCTAATAAAAACAGCACAGTGGATTTCCCTATTTATGCTTGCTGCTTAGCCTCAATAGGCAAAAAGCTGTCACTCAAAGTGGTGGCCCCAATCTAACACCAATCTTCCCTGAGCTGCGCTCTCTTATTGACATCACCGTCATTAATCAAAGCTGTGGAAGCCCAGCTGTGTCTTGGTTGTGCCTGCCCAGCCACAGTCAGCTGCACTCACACCACAGAGATCTGGATTACCTCAGAGACACTCATGCGACTTCACAGCCATAACCACATCGGTCTGAACATAAAAAATACCATTGATGATAGATAAAACTAACAACAATTTGTAGTTCTTGTGTTGCTGTACTGGCTCTGCAAAGCTAACAAGAACAGAGGTTCTTCTGATTTGGTCACCAAATCATGCCCACCTCACAGAATACAGACAAACCATAGCCTATGAATTAAATTACCTTCATATAACTTAAGACAATCTACCAAATAATTCTATCCGCTTTAAATGAAAAAAATTTACTTGTTAACACTTTAGCAGCTTACTATGGCTGCTTCTAAGAACAATTTAGCTTTATTTGTGATTAAAACCCAGAGCTGTTGATTTTGTATGTCAGTAATTCTTTCACTGGGTGTCAGCTTGGCTGGCACGTCGCAGGGCAGGGAAGAGGAGGAACAGTACTTGACAGAGGGAAGGAGGACACAGTCCCTCCCCATCCCTACCCACCTCTCGCACCTGTAATTACTTTCCTACCACCTACACTGTTTCACCATCCTTCCTCTCCACTCCCAGGCAGAGACTTTGGAGGAGGATTCAGTAGGCAATACCCCAGAGACCCCTGACTACACTCCTCATCTGGGTCAGCAGAAGACCCAGGACTGCTTCCCCTACAAATGACACCCCAGAGCCACACAGCGTTCACTCCTACCCTACCACTCACCAGAGGGGAACACCTAGAAAGGTCCTCCTTGGTGGCATGTTCACCACCCTTCCCAGTCCCAACGATGGGCAAAGATAAGGCAGCATGCAACACTGCCTAACGCTCCGTGTCCAGAAAATCCCTCCCCACCCAGCTTACTGCACCACTCCCAGAGGTCACCTTTAGCTATCCCACAGGGGAATGGACTGTGCCTAAAGAGAAACTGCTTTCTAACCCAAACCCCTGGGATTTATTTCACTATTTCAAGATGTGAAAGAGATACCAACCATTTATTGACTCCAACTTTATAATGCACATTAAAAAAACCTGTTAAACTTACCTTAGCCTTTCAGCAATGCTTCCTTGCTTCTCAAACAACACGTTCCTACTGCTGCTTGTCCCCCAACATACCTGCCACCCCGGAGGACTACCTCGGCATCATGCGCTCTCAGGTGACATGGCACTGCAGAAGGGACCTCAGGGAAAGCACCACAGCTTGCTCTCTTCCACCAGCCCTAAAAAGTGTTGTAATTCCCATCGCCCCTCCTGCCTCCCGCCCCGTACCTGGACACTCATGTCCTGCTGCTGCATGACACTGTGGAGCTGAACTGTGAGAGTCCCCGGCACCTTGCTGAGAAAACAGCCTCGTCCCTTACTAACAAACTTCTTTTCTCAAGCTTTCTGCTAGCTTTATGCCTTCTCACATGTGCCAGATGCTTTGATCACCACTTGATTGCTATTTTTAGAAATTAAATATTTACAGCAGCCTAATACAATCATGCAGGTTGCTCCATAGAGACTGATTTTTTCAAAGCTGTTTTTAGATTACTGTGCATTAATTACATCTGCCTTTGGGATTCCCCAGCCTCTGCCTCACACGTAGATGTAGATCTTATTTAGCAGTCTCCACTCACTGTATCTTCTTTATGAGGCACGTTACATACTTTCTGTAACATCTTGTTACACCTGGAAAATGAACTAATCTCCAATCAGATTCCAGCTAGTTCCAAACTTCCCTGTAAATCAGTGTTTTCTCGAACAGTGTCTTCCTCTCTGGATTAAATTCTGTTCAGGAATTAATTCCTCTCTCCCCACACACATACAGTTTTTAACACGACTAACTTAGCTACTTTAGTAAAAGTAAATAAATTAAAATCTCAGCTGCTAAAATAGTCACCGCTTTAGCAACTGCTTAAAGCAATATACAAGGAGTCTGAAATTTCTCATTTCTACAGCATGTAATACAACGCTCATTTAACACTGTGCACAAACACATACTGGCAGTACACACAGTTAAGTACTACGAGCCTGCATGTAAGGGTAGGTGTAACCACAAAATGGGCTGAGTTGCTCCTTAAATAAGGGGTGTGCCATAGGTTTCAGAGGAGTCTTAATCATCTGTTTTTCAGCTGCTGCTTCTTAGGTAGGTAAAAGGGAGCCAGAGTTACCAAACTCTGTAGCAGAGAAATGCAAGGTGACTACAAGGATAGGACATCTGGTTGATCCACTTACAGGAAAAAAAAAAAAAAAAAGTCCCCTGAATTCTAACATTTGGGATTTTGCACTTTTTTCCTGCAAGTTTTTAGATCCCTTCCCCCAGATGGAAGTAAGAATCGTAACAGTTAAAATGCCTCAAAGTTTAGGTCTCTGCTTTTTAAGGCTCAAAAAAAATAACCAAAGCAACACTTTATATTTTACACCTGAGCAAAATGGAGACATGTTGAGGACAGACTTCCCTTGAACATGAGGAAGCCATCAGCCTAGACCACAGGTAGAGAGCACCAGCAGCATTCCATAGAAAGCAGCTCTTCTGGGCTCTCCAGATTTCTTTAGTGCAGTCAAGGAATTTATGCAATTCAGTAAAGTTTACCAGCATATTCAATACAACAGTCACCATTTTTCCAAATCTTTTTTTTTTTTTTTCTTTTTCCCCCCCAACTTAACTTGGAAAGGCTGGTACTGACACTCATGCCCCAGGAGCTGCTAAGAGAAACCTTCGCTTTTCCTAGATTCAAGCAGTCGTACAAGACAGAGCAAACACATGCAACGCTTCCACCTTACTCATGCTTACTCCAGTCCATCACCACCATAAGGCAGCAGCAGGGCTTTTCCTTTCCACATCCAAATGTTCAGTTACTCGGCTTGCCTACGCTCCAGACTAGACGCAACAGACAACCTAGAAACTGGAAAACTGGCACCAGGCCTTAAACTTGTTCAGACAAATGAACTTTATTCCAGGCTCCTGTGGTCCAGGATTCACACAAAAACTATTGACACTTATTCTAAACATTTTTACAGCTTGTTGAGTTCCCAAAAGGGGAACTATAGGGCACTAGGCAGCCGAGTTCTGTAGGAAATCAATCTTACTTGGCACACAAAGGCTTACATATATTTCTTTGTATTTTTTTTTATTTGCGTTTCAGAAAAAGGAAATATATTATACCTTTGCCTAATACATGCACCATCTAGCCTTCCAGATTTTGTATCGTTCTGCCTTTCCTCAGAGGGACAAGTTAATTCTTGAATGCCTAAAGACAAATTCTGCACTTCATACATGTCCTGACTCTCCGGCACAGTGATACACATGCGTCCATCAAGGCTCCTTGTACTGAGAAAACTCTCATAACATACAGCAATACTTCCAATTAATTAGAAATGCAAAACAACAATTTGCATCATGAACAAGAGTTGGGAAGCCAAGTCGAGCAACCAAGATATTACCCATACGACTACACACAAACACACAGCCAGCAGGTTGCATGTTAAAACTAAAGGCACTAAAACAGACCTAAGTCTACAGACAGGATCAGCCAGCAGCCAGCCAAGGTGTGTAACTTCAGGTTACTTATCAGCCTAATGCAAGGAACTGGAGAACAGAAGAAAAAAAAAAAGAAATTAACTTTTTAAAAGTTGGTTCTTAATTAGCTCCTTTCCTCCCTCTTTCCCTTTTAGTGACAGCCATCATAACTGTGATAGAAGTAAAACCACATAAGGGGAAGTGTCAAAATCTTCCAAGACACTTCCACTGGCAAAAGGATCTCCATCTTGCACTATCTGAAGGTATAACACTGGAGGAATCATCCTAGTGTTGCAAGCTCTGATCATCCTACCACTTTTCCATGTTTAAAAAGAAGAAAAAGCCAGTGTCATGTATTATCCAGGTAGCTAATCTGCTTTAAAAATAACCCTGTAGTTCACATTGCTAAATATGATAGTAAAGGAGTTTTAGAATGAAGCAACACAATAATTGTTGTAATAACGTTGTTCAGGCTCTTATGAAATCTGAAAATTGCTCTCAAATCGCCAGAATACAAAAAGAGACATCCAACCTTTAAATAATGTGAACAATAGTAAAGTTATAGGTTAGCTTTCAGCTTTTCTTCACATCAGAGCTTCACACTTCTTTCGCGCTGTTTTTATGACAAGCTCCATAGCATTTCCTTTTCATGTGGCAGCCAGTCCTGACTTGCTCCCGCCTGAGAACAGCCAGACAACATGTCTGAATTAAAAGCCTGCTAGGGGATGCTGTGACAGTGGTTTCTAACCCATTAAGTTTTACCAATACACCAAAATACAGAGATTTTAAAGAAAAGTTAATGTGCCACTGTACCACAGTCAAAAACCAACCAACCAAAACTCATTCTCATGTAGGTTTTATGAATCTATTATTTGACCACTGTTAACACACAAACTTTGGTGTGTGTACTCCAGAGTACCAACTATTAAACACTTGGGTTTCTGTAAGAAATTAAGTATTTTTCAACGTTTCAGCTTTCACTTCTAATTTCTTCCCTTCTTCCCCACAGCATGTCCTGCAGCACTGTTTCTTAGACCCCAGCCTAAGACAACACCAGCTTTTGAAGTGCCTGAAGAACAACAGAACAAATCAAACCGTAACATCCTGTCGTGCTGTGTCTTGACTAAAGCCTGCAGGACTGAGACCAGAGACGCAGACACATCTGCCAGCACCCCCCCCCAGGGTTGGAACTGTGCCCCGCACAAGGGACA